CCACTGCCTCGAGGCACTTTCTCAATGCAGTGGTGGGCGACGCGTCGTCAAAAATATCACCTGCAAGAGATGCAGGCGCATGTGAACATGATGTGGGTGCCTTCACTTGAGCCTTCATGTTCACATGGGCCTGCAGTACTGTAGCCTACGCGTTGTCTTTTTTTCCTTCCACTCCACTGCACAGCTTTCAAGGTTTGTCTAAATCATACCAGCCCAACCATTCGGCAATCCTATCTGCATACCCATTATTTGGTTCACGCCAAGTTGCTTTTCCCACCTTCACGGCGAAGCTGCTGATTCTCTACTTCAAGCTCTTGCAGTTTTGCAGTTTGTAGCTCGAGTTCATTCGTGAGCTGCTGAAGAATCTCACGCCAGCGCTCGGTCATTGCTGTCGGGTAGTTGGTCTCTTTGAGAAGCGGGCCGACAAACTAGAGCCAGGAATAGATGGACAGTAATCACTTGTGACATGACATGGCTTCAACAAAATTAAGAACATTGACCTAAGACACGCTAAAACTAATTGCCAGGATTCCAGAAATCTCAGTGATGGTCATTTTAGGCATGAGAGATCATGAGAGAATTCAAAGGATGTCCTTCAGCCTAGGCCCAAACGATGAGCTACTGGCTTCAGACTGAGCATCATCGACCTGCGCTGGAGCACAAGGCCTCCAAAGAGGTCAAATCCGAATGGATCCAGAAGGCAAAAGGCAAAAAAGTGCCAAAGGGATCGTGTTCGCAGTGCTCATGTCATTTTGAATCCCTGCTGATGGTTTCGCTGGAAGCAGCTTGGCTCTGTTCTTTTCCTTTCGGGCTTTGGCAACCTTCCAGTCAAAGCAACCTGATCATGCAACCCCTCGGAAAATAAAGCGAGTTTTACAAACAGTACAGAGGACTGAATTGAGAACGATATGCTGGAGTTATATATATATGTTATATAATTTACTTCAGTCAATCAGGTCAAAAGCTTGCTCAGAAAGTGTTTCCGATTGGCTGCCTCCTGCCGGACGCTGCCGAACAACAAGACCACAGCAAAGGTACACCAACCAAAATGGTGATCAAACAGGCCCAAGTGCATTCAACTGCGTGTGTCCTCTGTTTGGCTGCCACACCGCCTTTTTCCTGCATGAATTGATTCCTTTTTTGGAGTCGGAAAGCCTCTCAAAAGCCAGGTGGAAAACCTCCGACTTGACCCATTTCCTGAACCGGAGCGCCATTGCAAACATAGCCAATCCTCAGCTTCATCAGCAAGCCTTTCTCGCCATTGGTAGAATTCACGCAACTCATGGTTTGAGTGACCAGGTCCGTTTGTGGAGGAAGCACCTGGCCAGTCGCCGGCTGTATGGATAGTGTGACATATTTGGGAACAGCTGCTTCGAAAACAAAGTTCGTCATGGGCACGCTAAGAGTGTTGGCGAACCTTGCCAAGACTGTCACTGAGCCATCTGCTTCCTTTCTTGGAAAGAATGTCACTTTCAGTCCGTTCTTCTCAAAGGCAACCATTGGTGGTGCTTCTTGCGAAGCTGCAGGAGTCCCACTGAAAATGTCTAGAAATCCTTCTGGAGTTGCTTGAGGAGCTGGTGGATTCGCTGCAGGTGCAGCATCCAACAAATCCAGCAAGTCGCCACCAGATGATGGTGGCGGTGCTTGGTTTGCTGGAGCTTGCTGTTCACGAGGAGCATCAAGCAGGTCATTGAGATCCAACAGGTCACTTTTCCCAGGCTTACCCTTGGATGTGTTGGTAGGCACTTCATCAATTGAGGCATCACCCACAACACGAGTCTCGGCTCCACCAATCTCCTTCTCAGGCACTGGCATGCGGTCGAGAATCCCAGCTCGGTGGGAATCCCAGTCTGAGCCCAGCAACTCCAGGAACTCACAGGAGCGTTGCCTTACTTTTGAGTTCACTTAATCTTCATTCTACGGATTTATCCACTATTTTTCATGTCTAGAAAGGGTGGCCCTGTACATACCAGTCAAGCTTTGACTCAACCCAGTTACATAGTTTCACATTTCGATTGAGAAGCATCCGCATGTTGAAATCATTTGAAATCATGTTCCATTGTGACTTTTTGGGGCTAAACATGTGCGGGCTGAGATGCTGTAGGTCCACATGGAGGCTGCAATCAAATCTCCGGAGCAACTTCCTGATCTTCTCGAACTCACTGGGGCATCTTGTAACTAGTTTGATGAGGGCCGCCGTCACTAAGCAATGAGTGGCAGGAGCCTTTTCACCTGTGGGAGGTTTCCTCACAACATCGTAAAGGAGGTCAAGCACATCTCCTGGAGTTACATGGATGGGTTGACTGTCAGGCCCCACGGCCTTTCCTGAGACCAAGTGGTCGCCAAACTCTCCCAAGCACCAAACTCCAACATGAACCAGAGCCTCTTGGCTCAAGCTTTCCTTCATGTTGAAGTACAACTTTATCACAGTATAGGAGTGCAACTCAGGAGTCGCAGCCACCACTCTGCAAAACTTTTCACGTTGTTGCTCCTTCACAAAGTTTCCACCAAGACACATGACTTTGATCAAGGTGTCAATTTGCCAACGGCGATTTGGAGAGAACTTCTCCACAGCCATGCAAATCTTGCTACACAACTCTTCTTTGAAATCAGGTTCTGCCACAAGGAGATAGTTCAACAACTCCTTCGTCATACTCTTGATATTGGCTTCATCCACCAAAGAGTAGGTGACGTCCAAAGCGCGCTTTCGGATGGAGATATCCGCGTCCTTGAGGCAATCAATGATTGTATTTCGGTGGCGCTGCATGACCTGTTGGTCTACGTTGACCACTCGTTGCAGAGTTGCAAGCGCAACATAGCCTGGGCACGTGGCAGTCTCAATGAAAAATAGGTTGTGAGATATTGTGTGAGTACATTGCAAGTGCATACTCAATTTTTGTGCAAAGGTATGCAAAGGTCCTTTTCCGGCAAAGTCCAAATAGCCAGCACCCACACAAAATTGAGAGCAGCTACAGCTACATTGATTGTATATGAATCTCTATGTGGAATACAAACCACAAGAATGTCACCCAGTTGCGAATGTTGTTGTCCCGGCTAAGCAGGAAGCGCCCCAGAATGTTGATTCCAAGCACCCGCAGCCCGCTCTCAGCCTCAATGGACATGATGGTAAGCACACACTCGTACAGAATGGCGTTCCCGGTGTTCTTGGTACCCTCCGTGTTGGTAGCAACCTGCAAATGAGCATAGAAATGGTTGAGCGTCAGCGTCACTGCATAAATCTTGTGTGCAATGAACCGTTCAGAAATGAGGATAACATGCATCAACCCTTTCAAAGTGTTCCTGGTTTGATCGCAAGTGCGAAACAACCTTCACAAATTGCTCTTGACATGCCTGTGCCAAAATATCATTCATCTCATCAGTCGCATCTGCACTGCGTTCACCAAAAAGGCGGAGCAAACGTAGAATCTTTGCTTGCAGGAACGGATCAGTAATACCCGCTATGTCATATTCCGCTGCATTAGTGTAGCCGGAAGTGACCATATTTCTCAATGCCCTGACAAGAGAGGGCACATAGCGCCGGAACTCCTTCATATAGGAGGGGTTCACTTCCAACAGGGCAGTCAACAATGAGCAGCCTGCAAGTAGCACTCCGTGGTTGCGATCCTCTAAAAGATTTCCAATCTTGCTATTGAATTTGTCCTCAATTTCATCTACTTTGCGCACAATCCGCATAGCACACAGGGCCGCCTTTTTCCTGATGTAGGGATTCGGAGATGCCATCATGTTTTCCACTTCCCGGGCTAAGGCTCGGCACATCTCATTGCTTCCAATGTTCCCCAGAGCGCACAAAGCCAGGCCGTTGACATACTGGTTGTCGTTGGACATGTCATTCTTGATGGAATTTGTCACCAACCTCGCCAATCCAGAATTGGGAAACGCAAGATAATTCAGAGGCGTTTATGCTGCAGTGGCACAACACTCAATAGAAGCCGAAATGATGAAAAGGCAACCTTTGGACGCACATTGAACATCCATAGTCTATAACGGTGACATACGGTGACCACACTAGTAGCAAGAATGCTACTAGGTTGGAGGCCATCGCTATTAAATGGTTGGAGTATTGATCGCACAGATCAGGTGAGATGGCGTGACCGTGGTGGACTAGAAAGTCTAAACTGGCTGGATGCAACAAGCACCTGCCACCCAACTGCCAGGAACAAAACTATCTTTTAGCTAAACTGCAGCACAATAAAATACAATCAACCTGACCAACACAAAAGTGTTCTTGTCACATCTGCACGAGCCACATGAGAACTTCCGTGTTTTCATCCAAGAGCTGCGTGAGACCAAGGTAGCCCACTCGTTTCTCTGGAAACTTGCTTGATGCAATCAACTTCAGACACTCCATCTGCCCAAAGTGTGTTGGATATCCCATCATGTGAATGAAAAGCAATTTTGCCACGTTTCGGTGCCTGAACTGATTGTCATCCTCTTTGAAGGCCGTTCGAATCAACGCACACTCCCGTGCGACAACGGCACGCTCTTCCGCGGCAGTCTTGCAGGCGCGGATGCTCCGAATGAGCTCCCGAAGCTTGATCGACATAACGCCGCGTGTGGAAACGTGGACACTGAATTGTTCCAATGCTGACTTCCGATGAAGTCATAGTAAGTAAGGCTCATGAACCTATGACTATGAGTGAGATTTCCTAGTAATTGGCTAATTGGCTCATGAACTGACAAAACAATTTGGTTATTTTGATGTTTGACCGATCCGACCCACCTACTGCCCATCCAGGCTGAGTGAAACGGCCACGAGATCTCGGATTGAAGAAGTCAAAACAAGGACAGAATGCCACCCAACATTTAATGGAAGGCCACCTGCACCTGCAGGGCTTTAAAGTTTAAAAGAGGCAAAAAGCGGCCTTGCGTAATCGGCTTGTTGCCAGCCTGATGTCTACGTTGATGATCTCGCTAAGGTACTGCTTTGCATCCACCTAAGTTTGCAATTTTGCAATGCATACGGCGTACGGCTACTTCATGCTACTTCGGCAATTGCATGGAGAAAGGGTGCCAAAAACAAAAGCATACAATTCCCTCAAAAGCCTGACCGCGCGACTAGTTTTCTGCTCTAAAGCCAGGGCTTCTCAGCTCCCGGAGTCCCAATGTCTTGCTGGGCAATGCATGGCGACCCGCGCAAAACACCCTAAACATCCCTAAACGACGCAATGACAAATAAGTAAGGACCCAACACGTTTAATGTCAGTGTCCCAGACTGTTCAAGAAGTGTTGCCTGCGATTCTCACATCCCGCAGCACGCCCCAAGCGACCATGACACTGCAAATTTATCCATGAAAAGTCGCCACTTTCCCACTTGCGGCCACCAGCATGCTCAAGCCCCTGGTCAGACTCAAAAGTAACAAGAGTGCTCACGGAGAGGTAGATTTCGGACTTCCAACTAAAAGACTCTCCAAAATCTAAAAATGGAATGTCTTCAAACCAGAAGTGCCAGTGAGGAAGGACGGCGTGTTGCAAAGCGATGCGCTCTGGATGGCGAAGCTCCGGTGGAGACCGGGTGGCTCCATGCAAGAAATCGCTCGATGGGAGAGTCGTCCAATTTCGTAGGAAGTTTCGGCTCCAATTCTTGGGCTCGCCCTTCAGCAATATGATCCAAGGCTGTGTGCCCCACCCGTCGGCGGTCACAAGCATCTGGCCGTCTGGAGGTACACCATGATTGGAGAGGATGACATCCACATTGCGGTTGACGTCCGTTACAACAGCCTCGCAATCAATCCACATAATCCAGTCATAGACTATGGGCATGTCAAGGACCACTTGCATTGCATACGCCCGCCAAAATGCCGGTGCATTGGATGAGCTTAGGTTGAGAGTGTGGTATCTATTCAGTAGCTCTCGAGCATCTGCGAAAAAATGGAGGTCGTAGCCATGCCGATGAGCGTAGATACCGAAGTTTTCTTGTGCAGTGAAGCGGACAACATCACCATGAAGGCCAGCGCAAGCGCTAACGATGGCGACCTTGGAGTGGCTCCGCTGTTCCTCTGCAGGATGCAAAGGGAACAGCATAGTGCCCAGCTGCGAGAACCCTGCAACTATATCACGGCCACGCAACGGCCATTGGGTGCACTCTCCATGGGCCTTTTGTGGGAATGCTGCCAAGGCGAGCTGTAGAAGGGCCAATTGCTTTCTTGTAGTGTGAGGACTCGCATTGACTGCGAGGACTTCTGCAAGGCTGTAACTTGTAGTTGCGAGGGCGGCCGGGCACTGAGAGGTCAGTCCAAAGCTTTGCCCAACTAAGTTGAGGAGTTTTTCGAGTTGAGCCTGGGCAAGATCAACCTCCAAATGTCCAGCCAGCTGCCCTATTCCCTGAGAAAAAACTAAACTGCGAGCTTCATAAACTTCTCCCGTGAATGCTGTCCAGTCCAATGTCGCTGAATGATACGCTGGGGGGGCGCATTCATCTGCAACAGCCCGGGCAAAGATCTTGTCTTTTGTGCAACCTCTAGCACGCTCGGTGGCCAGCTCTGCCGAAATACTTGTTGCCCAAGCCAGGACTGCAACGAGTCCCATGGTTTAGCTGGCCGACATCCTGTCATGGACAACCGGTGTGACATCCATGCATGCATCAGGACAAGGATTCCAAGCAAGTGAGCTAGTATGCTGCACGGTGCTAGCCTTCTGCTCTGCAATCTTGCCAACGCTCTTCGGACCATGATGTCCAAATGTAAGGCCGGTGATCAAGCATGGTGACATGGAATTTGTTATTCCCTTGACCCTCTGCTTTCATTCCATATGCAGTGTAGAATGCCTACCAATGATGAGTTGCTTCATGCGATTCATGCGTGTTTCTCTCAACTGGACAGCTATTGGTTTGTGATCAAGGTCTCTTCGCTGCTTTTATCACTTTGTCACTTGCCTCGTGTGAAAGTTTGCCGCAATTTTCCTAGCTGTACAAACAAAGGTATTGGCTCGGCAGTTGCACTCTTATATACACAATTACAGTGTATATACAGTACATCACCGTATACTTTCCTAATTCAGTCTGAAACTTTCTGGGACAACCCATGGAATTGGATGTCAGCAACTCCCGTGCATACAACTGAGCAGTGGGATGCACTGCCCAAAATGATTCAATATCGCGTTGCCTTCGACGGAGGGCCAATAGGACTTTGCCACACCTTTCTGTACAGGCCAATTGTCTGGGGGACACTGAGTGCCGCTGGGTCTTGTTCTTCAATGCTCTGGATGTTCCATGTGGAATGCTCACCCGCGAACTCGGCGTCACATCTGCATTTGCATGTGTAGACCCGCAATAAAGACATACACTAAACATCAATGCTTGCAGCATGCGCGCAACTATGCTACCCATCGAAAGGAATCCTGTGGTGGGACCGGATGTCCCCTGACACTAAGCATGACTTGCCCAGTGCAGCAGCGATGTTGCTCGGAGATCCGTCAGTTCAAGCATAATGGGGGTGAACGGCTGCAGCATCAATGCTTCAATTGGAAGAGCCATCAAAAAAATGGTCTGCTACTCTGCGATTGAGCCTGTAGGCTTCCTCACAGCGACTCATTCTTCAAACGGTTGAGCTCGCTTAAAGCCCGGCACTTCCACGCCTCAGTCAAGTTTCAATATGCATGACATTGGAAGTACCCACGACCTTGAATTGACGTATTGCCTTTCATCATCGTTCTGTCCAAGTAGCTCGTCCATCACAAGCCCTTGAAGGGGTCTTCTTGCTCTGCTTTCCCGCTCTGTTCGTGCATCTTCTTGGCATCCTCCTGTGTACGAACAACTGGCAACAACTGGCTACTCAAAAACAAAGCTTTTCGCCTCTTGGACGGTCAGTCTCTTTAACATTGTCCCTGTGTGTCTCTCACCCGTCAGTGAAGCCTCAGGACCTAAACGAATTTGAGCAAATTGAAGCACTCAAGCAACAAGCACGTCTTGCAATGAAACGCGATGACAGGCAATGACACCTGCCCTCCGACCCTGTCCTGCACAGCCCGCATCATCTGCCTGAGTTGGACCATGCTGCACTTGGATGTGATCTTGCTCCCTTGTGTCTCGCTCCATTAATAAAATTGCTGGCTTCCGTTGTTGTCGCCAGCTTCCATGGTTTCTGACCCAAACATCTGAAGACGTGAGGGAAATTCTCTGCCAAGCTGCGCTCGCTGTTCTTCTGCTGTGGGAGCACTTGCCTGAGGGAACATGATTGAACACAAACCTTGTACTATTCAACTATTCTAGCTTGGAGTGGGAAGAATAAACACTCGCAGAAACAGCAGCCGACCAGGTAACATTCAAGGTTGTAAAGGTTTACGCATCATTGCATCCTCTACCATTGGCTATATGTATATTATATGTATATATATATGTGTGTATATATATATACAGTATATATGGTCGACTTTCAAATTTGTTGTGGAGTTGCAGGTCATCAGGGTTTGGTGACTGTATTATTGATTTTCGAGCAACACTTAGCTTTTGAAATCCCATGATCACTCACTGACTATTTGTCACGCTCACGAATTTTGAGCCTAGCTCAAACATAATACACTCCCTGAAATTGGTAGCGGGCTGCGACCAAGGAAAGGAAACCATGTTTCCACAGGCGAGAAATGGATGTCAAGAACAGTGACCCTGTCAATGTACATAAGCAGAGACAATGTAGGGAAGTTGGAATCCCTGATTCCCACTCCACAGCCGCTGCGCACCCTACAGTATGCCTGCGCACAAGGGATCCATGTAGATGCCTCGAGCCCTTGCTATCGAGACAACAAACTGCCCTGGTTCAGCATGGGCATGGTTGGAAATGTAGGGACAAGGATGCGGCATGGTTCTCAGTTGCCATCTTACAACGTTTTCTGATGTTTTATGTGTGCATCGCTGTGCATTAGGTAGCACTTTCCTCTAAGCGGGGCCTACGCAGAGATGCCTAAGCATGGCTGGATGTGATTGCAGCACTTGCAGCTTTCAACCGTTCCCTGTGTGTGGTCCATGGGCCTAGTGACTGGCTGGGCGCTTCATTCATGTTCTCTGGTTTCAAGGGAGGTGGCCCACTTACTAGCTACCCAACATTGCATGCTTGGACAAAGTCTTCTCAAGAACATGCACTCCAAACACAACCTACGCAACACTCTACAACCTACGCAAGTCTACGCCAACTCACTAGTATCAGGAAAATTATGTCCATCATCTCCATAAATACGCTACTCGGGTGGTAAAACGTGTTCTCAATCTGTGTGTGTGTGTGACTCGGGAGCCAAGACTAGTGACTAGGCCAAGGACAGGCCAAGGGCCTGGCGCAGGATCCATCAACCAGCGCCTCACCAAGTTAAGGAATACTTACAGTATTCTAGCATAGCAGTCCGGAAGGTTCCAGGCACCTGCAACTCTAGCAACAATTTGCCTCTGAGCAGCAGCAGCAATACAAACAACCGACAGTTTCGCAGCAAGGACGGTAAGAGGAACAGCACCAGCTCCAGTACAACAAGTGTCTGACCCAAGGTTGGTGCACAAGCAGTGCCTCGAAATTCAACCACCAGCCCCCACAAGCGATGCTGGAAGCCCAACAAATCTCAGTCTCACCAGGCGGCAATGTGCGTCTGCGCGTCTTTGTAGAAGAAATATATATGTATATACTCGGACAACTACTCGGGCAATGCTAGTATATATTTATATATATACATACATATAAAGAACTCGGTTTTTGAATGATGAAATATCATGGATTCTTACCATCTAGGGGGAAGAATGCAACACCAGCCTCAACATGTGACACATGGTGCAAGCACAGCAACAAATTTCGGGGCACACGTGTCCTCTTCATGAGCGCTGAACCTGTTTGCCAGTATGTATAAAACGTCTTTTGAGGACTATGTCCGTCACATCCACTCAAAGCTTTGCAATCTGTTGAAAATGGTCAAGGACTCCAACATATTCCTTACTAGTAGTAACAAGAAGCTATTAGGAACAAGTGCCTCGCTACTAGTAACAAGTGCCTTACTAGTAGTAACAAGAAGCTATTAGGAACAAGTGCCTCGCTACTAGTAACAAGTGCCTTACTAGTAGTAACAAGAAGCTATTAGGAACAAGTGCCTCGCTACTAGTAAGAAGTGCCTTACTAGTAGTAACAAGAAGCTATTAGGAACAAGTGCCTCGCTACTAGTAACAAGTGCCTTACTAGTAGTAACAAGAAGCTATTAGGAACAAGTGCCTCGCTACTAGTAACAAGTGCCTTACCAGTAGTAACAAGAAGCTATTAGGAACAAATGCCTCGCTACTACAGTAGATGGACCAAATATTCAAACCCATGTACCAATAACTGTCGCCAACCCCTGACCCCCAAAGGTCAATGTTGAACATAACTTGATTGAATTTGTGTTTCCAGGGTTTGATTTGTTTCGTCCATTCGCCGAAACATTCTTGCAAGACCTCTAACATTGAGCTTTGGGGTAGAAGGGGTCCACGTGGTTGAAAGGGTTTGAATATTTCGTCCATCTACGGTACTGGGTGTGGACGGCGACCGGAGACCTCACATGCGTGTGTTGTTTTCAAGTGATGCCGGGCGGTTCCAGCTACTGTTCTTACTGTTGCCAGTTCCCAGTCCCTTTCCAGTGCCTTTTCCAGTGCCTTTTGCACTTTCTCGTGGCCCTGCCAGGAAAAAAGTGTTTCTGGTAAGTTTTG